TGAGCGAGCTGAGAAAGCAGCTGAACGCGCGCGCCAGAAGGAGGAGAGAGACGCTACTAAAGCTCTATAATTATCCCAAAAGGGAAAGAGAAAAGCCTCACAAGTATCCTCAGCAAGCAACAAGCGTCAGAAACGCGTTGGGGCTGCTCGCGCTACTGTAGGTGGTCAGTGCGTGCAACAGGTCACTGAGTGCAACACCCCCACCAAAATCGAGCTCCAGCAAAGATGAGGCTGCAGAGCTCCACACAAAAGCTATTATCGCGAGAGTTTTTGGTGGAGTACTATAGAGTAGTTATATTGTATCCCTATCTACTTATATTTGGCGGGCAGCTTTATGTTGCGGCCGCGCGTGGTGGTTTTGGTGGGGGGCTCAGTTGGCGGAGGCCCTTCACGACCACCACTTTGATGACGAGTAACACGACGACGTCTAACTGTATCTAACTTTTGAGATGATGAGGCTTTTCTTTTGCCTATAATTTGCCTATCTTGAAGTTTTTTTGAAGTTGTAGCAACTCGATCTTGTTCTTTTTGAGCCCTTGCGGCAGCGAGTTGCGCAGCCTTCGCCTCACGCTCCTTCACCCTCGCCTCTTTGGCTACCTCACGCAGCGCCTTTGCCTCTGCAGCTATCTTTTTTTTATATAAGGCAGCTGCTGCCTTAATCTCCTGCCTCTCTTTTTTTTTGGAGTTTTTCCTGCTTGGCTTCCTGTTGTTTTATGGCCTCACGTGCCCGAGCCTCCCTCACGGATCTAGGGCTCCACACGACAGCTGTACTATGATACTCTTCGTGCTGCTGTAGATCCAGAATCTTATTATGCTTTTTCCTCTTGTTTTTAGTGCTAATTTCATCGCGTAGTTCATTGTTTTCATAGTGTAGGAGCTCGTTATAGACTTGGAGAGAGTGGAGGGCGTGGCGAAGGCGTTTTGCCTCAATTTTTGAAGTATCCGATACTGCAGCATCAAATAATTTTGACAGATGCCTCCAGCTATCACTATCACCCTCCTTGCTAATTTCTGAGTCACTGTGATATCGCGTTGTGGAGGATTTGAAGCGATCGAGTACGACGTCGGCATCGCGTGGGTGGACTCCAGTAACTGCAAAACTGCGTAATATCTTATCAGCAGTGAAAGTAGATGTATAGGCAGCCCAAAATAACTGTATAAAATCACTTTTCTGCACCTCGTGTAAGCCCTGGCCGCGGTGAAGGAGGTTTGATAGCTCAGTTGAGTACGCAACTGCGAGGGGCTTATATAATACCACGTCAAGTGGCTGAAGGCTGTGGCTCGAGTGAGGAGGAAGGATAGCAAGTAGGATTCGATGGGAGTCGCAGTAGTCGATGAAGGAGGGGGTTACATGGCTGCCGTGGCCGTCGAGGAGGAGTAACCTGTAGTCACGTTTTGCCTTCTCCTTCGTTGCCCGATCAAACACCTGTTCGAGCCAGGCAAGCGCGAGCTCATTGTTACTCCACCCAGAGGTAGTTGTACAGCAAAAAAGCTGGTGTTTTCCTACCTCAAGGTCGCGTAACCAGCGATCGTGAAGGCCCTCCTTGCCTTCAAAGACAACAACAGGATCTATTGAGCTCCCATCAGCGCAAATACAGCCTATAGTTGTTATCCACTCCCTATTGCCGTCTTGCAAGGCTGCCCTAACCTTCTTTTGATCCCAGAGTTGCCTTGAAAACACCCTTTTAGATCTTGAAGTCACCCCAAGTAAGAAGCCTTTCTCGTCCATATTGTAGATATTATGGGGCTCAACGTCGAACTGAGCGATCTTAGAGTAGAGGAGAGTGAAATACGATCGATAGTTATCCTCACTGTCAGCCTTGTGGCGATCGCGATCGATCCCGGTGGTGGTTTTGATAGTAAGGTGATCGTGGTGACGATGCAAAAACCTAGTAACCCAGCTATCTGAAGGCTCCCATTGCGCCAGCGTTGCCACAAAATTCTTGATCATAGTTCGAGTAGGTGGGAGGGCACGCTCAGAGAGACCTTGTATGTAATTTACAAGCTCAGTTTCTTGTGGTGGGGTGAGTAATTGACGTTGTTGTGCAGCTTCTGTACGGGACCGAGTCTGGTGGTGGTGACGCCGCGTCAAAGTTGACACCTCAACACCAAATTTTTTTGCAGCTGCACGGTATGAAAGTTGACCTTCTTGATCTTGCGCATCGATTGCCGTGATCGCTTTAGATAGGGACGTCATGGTCGTGGAGATACGACGCGCTGAAGTTGGGGTGTGCGACGTGTTGGGGTGGGGCTAGTGTTGCACTCAGTGACCTGTTGCACGCACTGACCACCTACAGTAGTACTCAAGTTTAAGAAGAGCCTCCAGCTCCTCCACTAAAGCTCACATCACGTGGCCGCAACGTCAACCTCCCACAAAAATTTAGATAGTAGAAGTTAATTGCAAGTATCTATTTACTACAATATTACGTTTTTATAAATATTAAGCTATTATATAGCGTTGTACAGCCTCATTTTTAAGATCGCTGAGTGTCAGATTGTGATGGGTTTTCAAAGACGGGTGTAAAACTGTGATAAAATATGTGTGATAAAATGATTTCTTGATCGTGTTTTTTGTTGTGTTGC